TTTTTTTTTCATTGCTTCCTTTTTGCTTTCATAATCCAAGAAAAGATTGGCTACTGTAATTAGTCATCACCTTTTTTCACAAACCCTAATCCATGCAGTTCTCAGTGGTTTATCAGGTGAAGAGATGGAAAGTTCACTCAGTTACTGGGGTAAAAATGTAGCAGCCATACATGGAGTACACTTGGTTTTGTGTACGTATACGTAACTACGTATAGGCATGTGTATATTTAATTTTTTTTCTTCAGTTATTTCCCTGAAAGTCCTCTTTGCACTTCAAGTGATTGTTTCAGGGACATGACATGACAGAAACGAAGCGGTGGTTCATGAGAGCACTTGGGTACCACACACATGTGCACCTGACTGGGTCCTCTTCCCTTCTGTGAACACATTCCATCCTTCTGCCAGGGAAGGTCTGGCTGGTCACGGGCAGTCAGAGAAGCAACTCTGGTGGTGACCCTTTAAAATAATTTGGCAATAACCTTTTCAGAAAGACAATGTTAACATGGAGGTATGAAACCAAAGGAAACTCTACCCTTTAAGTTCTTTGCTTGGCTTAACTTGGAAATGTCCTTGCAGATGCTTCAAATGGGATGGAAATACCATCTTATCGGGAAGTCAATCTGGTGAATTAATGATTTGGGACCTTCTTGGAGGAAAAGTTATGGAAAGAATCAAAGGACATACAGGTATGTCTGAACTGCTCTTGTTCTCAAATTGAATGGAAGATTCACATTTTCCAGCTCAGTTTGTTAGTATTGAAGAGTTTGAGAGTCTTCTGCTCAGCCAGGTGGCTGTTCTCTATGTTAGTGTTATTTGGAACACCACAACCAAGAGTAGGTCCACATGAGCCTCCTGGGAAATTCAATAACAAGGGAAGAATATTGCTGTTTACAAGACTGACCAAAGGTAAATGACTTGGGATTTTTCTAATTCACACATCACAAAAATCAACTTTTTTCTACCTTGTAGCCCAAACAAGGTGCAATGTACGCTGCACCCATATACTTTGCCAAAGTCTGTCCAGAGTGGGAGTCTAACAACAAATTAAGTAAAGTTCACTAGAAAATTGTTTTGGATGGGGATTTACAGGTACATTAGCAAACAATGTTTGAAGGAGGAAAAACTGGTTTATTCAGTTTGGTTTTTAAGGTTGCCTTCATGAAGAGTTGTTTTGAACTTCCCCACCATCAGCTTATGCTCTGGAGCTGTGGAGACATCATCCCGTAGCCAAGGGGAGCTGTGGAAGGGGGTTCCAAGACATCTGCTAAAAGATGTGAATATACTTTTAATACGAGAAGCCCAAATGGCAGAGTGAAAAATCTCACTTCCTAGAGAAATCTTCTTCCCTTAACCCCATGAATCCTTTGGCCAGTTCTACCTGTGCCATCTGCATTGTCCCTCTGGTACCCAACACCTGCCAAGGCAGCGTAGCAAGAAGTTGTTGCTCTGAGAAAGAACAGCCACCCAGAAGCCTACTAAAATCCTTGTTAGTGTATGTGGTGTCAGTGGAGTCCAAACTAGTAATCAGATGATCCTAAACTCATTTCAGAAGGTCTGCTCCATCACTTTGAGTACCACTTTTATTTGCATTTGGATTTGTTTGTTTGTTTCTCCAGGTGCTGTAACATCCATGTGGATGAACGAACAGTGCAACAGTGTTATTACAGGAGGGGAAGACAAACAAATCATGTTCTGGAAACTGCAGTACTAAGTGCCTTTCCCTCCAGATATTTAAACGAACTCTTTATTTTAAACCAAACCTTTTAAAGGAACTTACCTGTGTGCAATGATGGCTGCTGAAGTTCAACCAGACAGGAAGCTTTGTTCAACTTTCTACGTTATGGTGACTTCACTGAGAGCTCTTAACTTCCATAGTGTATGCGTTTGTTTTTCATGGATTATCATACTAAAAATGCTTGTCTAAAGTGATATCAGAGATGAAATTAAAGACCTATTTTTCTGTAATTAAAGAACTCTTAACTTGCAGTCCTTGTTTGATTTACATGGAATTATCATGGCGTGCTGCGTGAGCTGGATTCAAAGAAGGATTTGCATCCTTAAGACAGCGTTGAGGATACCTGCACCCTCCTGCCTCTCTGTGTGTACCTCTTGGTGTAACCAGCCTTTCTTCCTGGGGAAGATACACACTTTGAGCACTTAAGGCAGCTGTTGCTCTGAGAGTGGTGGGTCTAGTCTGTGTCTGTACATTTAACCATAGCTTAAATGCCAGCTGGTTTCTGCATAGAGAGAGGAGGGTTTTGTGATTAGCTATTTCCCTTCTGGTTGCTTATCCTACAGCTGGAAGAAAAAAGAAAACATCAAGTACTACCTCTATATTATTTCCAGTGGGTCTTGCCTGTAGTTACCAGTTTTTGGTTTTGATAACCAAAAAAAAAGTTAGTATTCTTCTTCCTCTGTGGGTTTAGGCCAATGGAGTTGAGCCACCAAGCTGTAATATAGTAGGAGGTTTGCTTAAATAATGTTTTAAAGCTTGCATAGGTATAGAACTGGCTCTTCCTGAATTATCTGCTCTTAAGGAAAAGCGGGTTAAGCTGCAGTGATCAGCCTTTCACTCGTACCTTGTTTTGGGCTCCAGGGATGTCCCAGCTCAGCAAACTCGCTTGCCGAGGAGCTTAGAGGTGACAGCTCCAGGCTGCAGGTCCCCTGCCCGCGGGGCTGAGTCAGGCAGCAATACCTGCCAGTGAGTGCCTGCCAGAGCCCTTCCAGAGACATATCATTTTGTAACCAAACAATCCCATTAAAGTGGCTCCTGGGATGAACGCCATCACCACTACAGCCTGAAGGAGTGTCACAGTTTTCCCCTTGGTCACCATAACCAAAAAATTCCTCTGAGAACCAGGAAGCCACAAGACAGACTCTTGGTGACAGCCACAACCGAATCCTTACTGCTAACCTGACCAGTAATCCTAGATTGCACAGCTGGAACCTGGAACAGAGCATTAAAAAAAGGAAATCACTCACCAAAATTGGTATTTAACTTCAGATCAAAGTCGCAGTTGATGGTACTGGTGACCTGGTCTGGTGGGCTGACCCCAGCCAGCAGCCGAGCCCGCCAGCAGCTGAGCCCCTACTGAGTTTCTCACTCCCCTGCCCCACAGCAGGATGGGCAAGACAATCAGAAGGGCAAAAACCAGGAAAATCCATGGGTTGGGATAAGAGACAGTTAATTAAGTGAAGACGAAGAAAAAAGAAAGGCAACACACAGGGAGTAACTCACCGCCTCCCAACAGCGGCTGCTGCTGCCCAACAGTCTCCAAGCAGCAGCTACTTTGGGAAGACTCCCCCCAAGATTATCACTGAGCATGATGTCAAATGGCGTGGAATTTTCCTTTTTTTGACCCAGCTGTGTCCCCTCTCAGTAAAAAATTCCTTCCCAAGATCTAATAAGTCTCCCCTCTTCCAGTTTCAAACCCTTACCCCTTGTCCTACGGCCTGAAGGAGTGTCACAGTTTTCCCCTTGGTCACCATAACCAAAAAATTCATCTGAGAACCAGGAAGCCACAAGACAGACTCTTGGTGACAGCCACAACCGAATCCTTACTGCTAACCTGACCAGTAATCCTAGATTGCACAGCTGGAACCTGGAACAGAGCATTAAAAAAAGGAAATCACTCACCAAAATTGGTATTTAACTTCAAATCAAAGTCTCAGTTGAAGGTGCTGGTGACCTGGTCTGGTGGGCTGACCCCAGCCAGCAGCTGAGCCCCTACTGAGTTTCTCACTCCCCTGCCCCACAGCAGGATGGACAAGATGATCAGAAGGGCAAAAAACAGGAAAAATCATGGGTTGGGATAAGAGACAGTAAATTTGGTGAAAAGGACAAAAAAAGAAAGGCAACACACAGGGAGTAACTCACCACCTCCCACCAGCAGCTGCCTGGTGCCCAGCCAGTCTCCAAGCAGCAGCTCCCCCCAAGATTATTGCTGAGCATGATGTCCAATTTTCCTTTGGTCACTTTGGGCCAGTAGCCCCAGCTGTGTCCCCTCTCAGTAAAGAATTTCTTCCCAAGATCTAATAAGTCTCCCCTCTTTCAGTTTAAAACCATCACCCCTTGTCCTGTCACTCCACTCCCTGACAAAGAGTCCCTCTCCAGCTCTCCTGTAGGCTCCCTTCAGATATTGGAAGGCTGCTATAAGGTCCCCCCAGAACCTTCTCCAGGCTGAACAACCCCAGCTTTCTCAGCCTGTCCTCACAACAGAGGTGCTCCAGCCCTCTGACTGTTTTCTGGGCCCACTGCAACAGGTCCATGTCCTTCCTGTGCTGAGGACTCCAGAGCTGGACACAGTGCTCCAGGTGGGGTCTCACAAGCACAGAGCAGAGGGACAGAATCACCTCCCATGACCTGCTGGCCACACTTCTCTTGACAGAGCCCAGGATGGGGTTGGTTTTCTGAGCTGCCAGTGCATATTGCCACCCAGGATGGGGTTGGGTTTCTGGGCTGCCATTGCACATTGCCAGCTCATGCTGAGCTTCTTATCCATCAACACCCCCAAGTCCCTCTCCTCAGGGCTGCTTTCTAGCCATTCTCTGCCCAACCTGTGCTTGGGCCTGGGATTGGTGTGACCCAGGGGCAGGACCCTGCAGTTGGCTTCGTTGAACGTCATGAGGTTTGCCTTGAACAACTTCATGAGGGTTTTGTCTTGAACACCTGGGCTGCTATTCCACATGTTAAAGCTGAAGGTACGAAAAGTTAAGCATTTCTCATCCAAAGTACCCCAGATCTACCCTTTTAAAACACTTCAACCCTGTAGGCAGTGGGTTTATTTAGAAAGCTACTTTAAACTCTATTTCCCACCTTGTCTTTGTTGTCAAAGTACCCCAGATCTACCCTTTTAAAACATTTCAACCCTGTAGGCAGCGAGCTTATTTAGAAAGCTACTTTAAACTGTTTCCTACCTTGTCTTTGTTGTTGATTGAAACCGACTTCAACAAGCCAAGCTTGTCTTAGCCCATCTTAAGAAACACTACATGTGCAGAGCTAAGGTTTCAGTCATTTATTTGGTTATTTCTGAATTCTTAAGAACATGGTTAAGGCGAGAGATAAGCATATTAGTTACAATTTGTATAACAAGTAATAAAAAGATTTGAGTATCTGTACACTACTGTAATACGCTTACTTACTGAACGATGCCTTCGGCTACACTCAGCTCAGCTGGCATTCTCCTGTAAACAGTATTTACTAAGACAACAAAAAAATTAACTAGTACTAGCCATACTTCTAATACGCTATTTCAAGTCTACTCTTGCAAACAGAAAGCGGTAAAAATACTCATTTGTCTGAAAGGTACAAAGCACAGCATTGTCCTGGGTAACACCACGGAACTTTGCAAGTGAGCTCTGGTTGCTTTGGTTGCAATGGCTTATAGAAGTAGTAAACTAAATAAAAGACCTACGAAAAGAAGTTGTAACACAACTGGAACTTCACATTTGTCAAGCATATAAGGCTACAAGTTTTACAGTTTGTGAATAAACGAGATATGTTGAACTGTAACATTCCCAGCCATTATAGATGCAAATGCTTGATGCAGCATATCTTCTCTTGGCCTCCAGGAAGGCTCGTGTGCAGAAGAAAGAAATCACTGAGTAGAATAGCCCAAGTTTAGTGGAATCATCATTATGTGTATGTACAAACACGTACATGATGCAAGCTTAGACTTCAGGAACAGAGTGATCCATCAGGCTTTTCATAATGCTAGTTGCCATCCTAAAGAAAAGGAAAAGGCATTCAGTTTTGTGGGACAACCCTAGAAGACCACCAAAGCTTCTGATCACTGCAGCTTTGTCATAGAATGGTTTGAGTTGGAAGGGACCTCAAAGATCATTGAGTCCCAACCCCCCTGCCATGGGCAGGGACACCTCCCACCAGACCAGGTTGCTCAAAGCCCCATCCAGCCTGGCCTTGAACCCCTCCAGGGATGGGGCAGCCACAGCTTCTCTGGGCAACCTGTTCCAGTGTCTCACCACCCTCACAGGAAAGAATTTCTTCCTGATATCTCATCTAAATCTCCCCTCTTCCAGTTTCAAACCATTACCCCTTGTCCTGTCACTACACTTCCTGACACAGAGTCCCTCCTCATCTCTCCTATAGGCTCCCTTCAGATATTGGAAGGCTGCTATAAGGATGGGGCAGCCACAGCTTCTCTGGGCAACCTGTTCCAGTGTCTCACCACCCTCATAGTAAAAAATTTCTTCCTGAGATCTAATCTGTCATTGCTACGCCTTTAATACCATTCAAAAGCTGGCCTTTCGCTTCACTATCTTTGCCAACAGATGTGCCAAACTGCACACAGAGAAGAGAAGCCCACGATACTAATAAAAACACTGAGTAACTGAGCTCCTTATCAACATCTTTCAGAAGGTGGGCATGTGTGCAGGGAGGGCAGGGGGAAAGGTGGCTCTTGGGCAGAAAACTGGTTTGTAGGAAGAGAATCACAGAATGGTTCGAGTCGGAAGGGACCTTAAAGATCATCGAGTTCCACCTCCCACTAGAGCAGGTTGCTCAAACAAGAGCATATCAAGTATGCAGGGCGGGAAGACTCAATTACACCTGACGCGTTATTAATTTCTAGCAACTTCAAAAACATTTTTGCAGGAGAGATTTAGCTGTAGAAGGCCACGGCTGCCAAAGGATTAGAAAGAAGCCAGCTATATCCTGCCAAGAATCATGTTTACGTCACCAGAATTAGTTGCATTTTAGTTACAAGGTACCAAATACGTGTGTTATCCACATATTTGAGAGTTCTCAGAAACTCCAGTTCAGTTAAATTATGTTTAGAAAAGGGCTTTTCTAAGAGCAAAAGGCAAAGGATCATCACCAAAATGAATAGCTGAAAAACAGAACCAAAACCCCACTGGCTTGTCTAAAACATCAGATTAAGCACATTTTCAGACTTTCCCCACCCCCTTGCCAGCTTTCATGTCAAGTCTGTAATTAGGTCTTATCATGAGTACCTTGTATTTAACCTATAAATAATACTCACTGTCAACTCAACTGTAATTAACACCACGGCTGCTTTGTTTATTACCTACCTCTTTATTATATACTCATAAATACTGGAAGGCATGATGGTAATGGTCACTACATTTCCAGCTGTTGCCAAGATGTCTGCAATCTGGGGGTCCTGTAATTAAACAAGAAGTCACATGAGCACCGTTACTCAAGCTGACAAATAAAGCAGCAGTTCCAGAGCTTTTTTTTCACATTTCACACAGCTTAAGAGACCTACACACACAGCCCCTCTCCTGGGGTATTTAACCCTCAGGGCAAACCACTGACCCTGCAATACCACTTCACAGGCGTTTGGTTATTGGTATCTTGCACAAACTGACTAGAGAAGGGACACAAACCTTATACACAAAATTCCTACTAGAACTGGAGCCAGGCTGGCAGGAGGAAGATTACTCTTTGTTTTTCCAAAGTTAACCTACAGATAAAAGCTGAGGGTCAGCCCAGCCAGGCAGGAAGAGAACAAGCTGCCCTGCCTACAGATACAAACTGCAAAGCTGCCTCAGAACATACATCTCTCCAGTCCAGTTAAGTTGCCTCTCATGACTTATGTTGTTTAATGTTCATAAAATAAAGTATTACAATCTTTTTCCCCCTCCAAAACACAATTATTGTATGTGCACAAAAAGCTCACAGCTATCCACACCCACCACATATTACTTCTTTTACCTTCAATCCAATTACATTCTGGCCATTAATTTCACAGATGTTGTGCTCTGTCAGAAGTCCGTTTCTCGCAGCAGAGCTGTCTTTCACTATTGAGGTTATTTTTCCATTCTTGAAGATGAAGCCAACATGCCCTGTGCTGTCCTTGTGCATGGTAATAATTCGTTCAAAAGGCCTACAAGATATTTAAAATGCAAACCCATATTTTCAGTCTATTAAACCACAGAAGAACCACACATTATTTCAGCATCTTTGATGCACAAAAAGTAATTGTACTCTAAGCAGTGACTCGTACATCAACTACAATAGAACACAGTTGGGTTTAACTTCATTTTGTTAATATTGTTATATTAATACATACTTGTTTCTAAAACTCAAATGTTTCCCTGTTCTACCAGGCGAACTGTCTGGATTAACAATAATACAAAAAATATCATACAACATCCACCCACCCACCCCAACAACCAACCAAACACAAACATGTATTAAGTTCTCTCTACAAACTTTACAAGGCAGATAAAACAGCAGAGGCAGCTTTAATAACTGGAGGTAGACCACAGGATTCTGGAGTAAAAGCCTTCCCCAACAACATTTCTACTGCTGTACAGACAATAAACCTTTAAATTGTGTCTTAAAAAGCTCGTAAACCCAGGAAGGGCATGGGGAGTTGGGCAAAGAAGTGGCAGACAGGGCAGGGAATCTACTACCAAAGCATTTGGATTCAATACAGGATAGAAGTACCATGCCCTCCACTGGGTCAAACTTGATTCTTAAACAAGAATCAACATTGAAAAAAGCTTCAAGACATGTAGGTAGTCATATAATGTATTATCTGTCTTCTCATAGCCTGCAGACCTTATCTTGAATCTGACCTATTCCTGCTACATACAAATACCTACTACATACAAGCTCATTATTTAATACAATTAAAAACCTGTATTGGTTCATCAAGCATCAAGCAAAACTGGCATTAGTTCATATGTAACCAGAGCTCACAAGAAAACTATCATTCTAAATAAAAATCACAGAATGGTTTGAGTTGGAAGGGACCTTAAGGATCATGGGGTTCCAACCCCCTGCCATGGGCAGGGACACCTCCCACCAGACCAGGTTGCTCAAAGCCCCATCCAGCCTGGCCTTGAACCCCTCCAGGGATGGGGCAGCCACAAGTGTATTCACTATTACAGTGAATATTTTGGTACCATCTTTTATTGCTTTTTCAATTAGCATAAGCAAAAGTCGTGTCCAAAAAAAGGCACAGAACTCTTGAATTCAGAGTTTAAATTTGACTAATGCTGTCAGTCATTAGTTTACCTTGAAAAATGTCACACCTCATCATGCCCAGGCAAGCGTGAGCTGGAAGTTTACAAATTAACAACTATTTTGACTGTTCCCCACATAATGGAACATTTCTGAGGATCTTTGCTATCGAAGTACGTGGATAAACAGATTTTGTTATGCCTATAGTCCTGCTCAAGCAAGGGGAGACTCAAACCCCACAGAATGACTCCGAAATGGATGATGAGAATCCATATCTGCAATTGGCTTTACCTGTCCCGGATGATCATTGAAATCCTTTCTCCAGAAGCCTGTTTCAGAACCTTGTGTGCTTTATCAGAACTCCATCCTGCACAGTTTTCACCATTGATCTGCAGAACTTGGTCCCCAAACCGCAGACCAGCAAGGGATGCTGGAGAATTTGCCTGCACTAACTGGACAAATATACCATGCAACAGAGAAAAAAGGGAAGAAAAAAATGAGAAGGAACAAAAAGACGAAGTTCTTCCTTGAAGATGAAGA